CTACTATTTTGAACATGTAGGCCTGCATACACTATGTGTTTCACCAATCCTCCAGCTGCCGCTGCAGGAAGGACGAGTGTTTTCTTTGTAGGCACGGCGCACGATCCTCGTGTGGGGATGCGCCTACGCAACGTGTCAATAGCAATATTGCGTCTCGTTTAGGCACCGGAAGCGGAATCTTGAAGCATACAAGGGACAAAGTACGGTACAGACGACGCAACGAGGCGCACCGCGCAGATGACCACGATATTCGCGATCCATGGTATCATCCCGCGTCTGTCCGCCAGATTCCCTCGAATCATACACTGCTTGCCAGGAACTAGTCGGGCCACTGGGTCCTCCGCCTTTCTGTCAGCGCTTCCGAGCTATAGAGTGTGATGGCGACAAACTGTCACGCACCGCTCAAAGCCCAACGCCAGGCAACGCCAGGGGACAGACTACCGTCTCTGACCGCCTCGTTCAACAGCCGCCTGGCGCCTTTCGCGCTGCAAAGACGCAAAATTTGAGTCGCTGAAGTCCGGCAGAACCACGGATGCTAGCCTTTCGCTTCGGCAAGGTACAAAGGTACAACACTTTTTGTGGATCTGGTCGAGTCCCCTTGCATCGGCGCTCGCCCACGCTGCTAGCTTGCAGCGACTATCCGCGTCAACCAATTACTTGGGCATGGCACTGTCAGCTTCGCCAGGCGGCCGACGCCATGCTCGTCTGCTTATGGCTGTCTTCTCCCAGGCGCGCAACTTGTCTTGGGGGACTGGCCAAACGCGCCGGCGCGTCCATGGCATAGCCAGCCATCTTGGTCCCGATCTATCTGATAACACGTGAAACGGCAGCGGGCGTTGGTAGGTGTTTCGTCATCAATATCCAGCGTGCTCAGGTCCCGGCCATAACGCACGACCTAGAGCAAATAGTCAGGTTCTTGACCCATCGCTGCAAGCATGTGCCATGACCGTTGTTAGCAACCGGAAACAGGCAGTGCTGCCCAGTGCCCCGCCGCACAATATGATGCCATGTCCTGCAGCCAGGCCGATTGCTTGACGGCAGATGCGCTCATCAGGGCTTGCAGACGTACTATGGTCTGACAGGCGGACGAGCATACTCTGGGGCTCAGCTGCACCTCTTCATCATGTCTGGGTCGGCGGGCCAAGCATCGCTAATTCCAAGGATCTGCAGGCAAGATGTGCCTTCGTCGCAAGGTGGATCGGACTCTAACCCCAGCCTTCTGCCAGGCCGTCCGTCCAGGGCGCACGACAAAGCCGCTAAGATCCCGTCCTGTGCCTTACCAACCCCTCCTCGTGCATTTGCGACGCAATCGTGAGTTCGTTCTAATCCCGCTCTCCTGCATCGACACCTGCTCCTCTGCCTTCATACCCGGGTCTTGCACAGTCTAGCTGCATCGCCACAAGAGCCGCATCCTGCCGCTCCTACTCGAGCCCTTGTGCGCATCGAGTCTTGCGTCAAAGAGGGGCCAATCTCCCCGCCACCTGAGGCATCCCATCCCGCGCCTTATCATACCCAGCCCAAAGTCCGAGTATCCGTGGTTGCTCAACCCTCACCACTGGTACACCTTTGGGCGACACCAACTTGACGATTTTACGACGCAACGATCGAATTTAACACGACCTCGTAGATTTTGTTTGACCTTGCTCGCTGGGCGCTGACTCCGGATGTTGTTGCAACGCCGCCCTCTATTCGTCATCATATCGTTTCAGCCTTCCCACATCCGCTCCAGGAAGGGACCACCCGCAGTATCATACTGATTGCGCCGCTCGAGGCAACCCGCCTGGGACCTGCGCCTGCATTAACTCTCCAGTCTTACATCACCGGCGCTACCAAAGCGAGCTCCCTCGTGCAGGTTGTAAGCTATACGCGCTCGTCTCCGCAGACTTGCGCGGCTCACTCAGCACGACACGGAACAAGAGGTGGCTATCGTTAGACTGCTGGTCACCGCCTCTTCCAACATGTCTACTTTCCAAGCAGTCAACACCACATTGTCGGTCCCAGATGCGCCACAGGGCCGCCCGGGTGACGAGACGACACCGACTACTCCTCGACCGAACAGCAGGTTCTTTGCCGAATCGAAAGCGACCGAAGAGATCCGTACCGAAGACCCATCGGCTAAGACACCTACACGCAATACCTTTGCGGGTCTTGTTGGTCAGCGACCACTGCCCTCGTCGCCGTTTACACCCGGCCGCGAGCTGAGCGAGACACCTTCAGCTTCGAACAAGAGCGAACAAAGTAGAGAGGACTCGCATAGGCCAACAACCTCGGGACAAGATGTGCATATGGGTGATGGGGATGATGACGAGAAAGACGGATCGGACAACGATAGCGTAACCAGCGATTCCAACCGGCCGTCTAAAAAGAAGAAAGGACAACGCTTCTTTTGTACCGACTTTCCTCCGTGCAATCTAAGCTTCACGAGAAGTGAGCATCTGGCACGACACATTCGGTACGTAGCGCACTATACGGCATTTTACGTTGCTAACACACTGCAGTAAGCATACTGGTGAAAGACCCTTCCAATGTCACTGTTCCCGGCGATTCTCGCGACTCGACAACCTCCGACAACATGCCCAAACAGTCCACGTCAACGAAGACATACCTTCGGAATCGCTAGCTGCAACGGGTACGAGGTTCCAAAGGCAGATCCGGACCGACAGAGTAAGACCACCTGGAAACCGATCTCGAGCGAACACACTAGGCAGCACAGGTGGCCATAGCAGAGGCCACAGCAGAAACCTCTCAGCTTCAAGCATAATCTCTACCGCTTCGACCATGAGCGCGGCACCTTCTCCCGACATTCGACGTAGGCCACCACCTTTGGCCATGGCCAGTGATGGCGGTGCTAGCGCGAGGGCCCGCCTGTCGCTCAACACAATGAACGCGTATGACCCACCGATGATGGGTTCTCCTGGGCCTGTCGAGTATGACACGCAGTCCATCGCGCCTACAACGCCCACATCCGCTACCTTCTCGACAGTTACTGGCAGCCCCGCTCGTTACGGGTCCACTATACAATCTCCCGTTTCGTCTTCGTCCAGGCCAGTCTCATGGGCTGGACCACCTCTTCCAGGACGCCGAGAATCCATCTCGTCTAGCGGCAATCCTTTCTCTGGTCCTCCAGGACAGGGTCCTTCCACGTACATCACACCTCTGCAGTCGACTGCCGCACCCAGCTATTCAGCCCAAAGCAGCGCATATGCGAGCCCAACAGCATCTCAATTCTCAGAGTCGAGGAGAGATTCAAACGCAGATGCCGACTGGAGGCGACGTACGTGGCATCCAGGAACTTGGGGGCATACTGGGCCTCGACCAGCGACCAGTGGGCTTGGTTATCACCAGACGCCAGACGCGGATCGGCCCACGTTTACTTCAATTCCGGCCGCTTCTCAAACTACCCGTCTTCCGGGAATTGAAAGCTTCGACCATGCACCCCCTCCGCTTCCTCGACGCCAGCCAAGTCCAATGCAAGTAGACGCCCCAGCTCGTCCACTCACATATCACGCGCCGATGGAGCACCCGCCTCCGCCTCACAGGGGTCACCACAAAAGAACTAGTATTTCTTGGGAAATTGACCGTCTGAACATTGCTGGCCCAAGTTCTCAGAGAGAACCACAATGGTCGCAACCATACCCTGGCAGTGCGGGACGAGCGAATGCTACACGCCCTACGACCGCTCATGGGTACTTTAGTCGGCAACCTTCTAACGTTCAGCCAATCCAGATCCCTTCCATCAACGCTTCGCCCAGGACTTCGCAAGAACAGCCTACGACGCCCCGAAAGAACAAGCGACAGGCGTGGTATAACGGACCTGTCAGTCAACCACAAAGAGCTATGCAGAGAACATCCCCTGAAGATAGTAGCAGTAGCGAAGGCGTTCCCACTCCAGGGACGATTTGGGAACATCATCCGAACATCGTGGGGAGCAATGGATATGTCGAAACGCCAGTCGTCGAAGATTACAAGTCACAAGCGTCAATTATGGAAAGGCCGCATCCATTACAATCGCAGCCACACCATTATCATAGCCACAGTCTCTCCAACTCGAGCTCAAGCTATCGACCGCAACGAGAACCCGAGCGGGGACCCGCAACGTTCGGTCAGCCGCTACCGCAGCAGACAGCCAACAATGATATGAGACGCTTAGAAGCGTTAGTTGCCGTCGCCACTGGCGAGCAAGCCGTAGAGAACCGCTCTTGAATTAGGTCAGCTGATTGCTTCCTCACCGCCTTTACATCACACATCGCCATCATCAATTTACGTCGAGTTTTTCAAAGCACAGCCACGATGTCACGACCTCGAAGAACAATAACGAATCTCCTATGATTTACGCAATGATACACATGTCTGGTGTTTTACCTCCAGTTCCGCATGACAATCTCTCGGTCTTTTGCTTTGTTTCCCTTGCCTTCACTTCAGATATCACCGACCAGGTGAGGGCTCTTGTTGTCGCTTTCCATATGATACCAATCGGAGCTCCTGCTCGAACTTCCTTGGGATACCCCGATCCGGCATATGTCATTTTCCCTTTGTTTTGTTTGCCTTTGTGCATATGACGTTTTTGCTTTCGTTTTAGGGATATACCAAATCGAACAGCGGGAGTCTGGAGTTTTTTTTTTCGGGATCAGTTTCTATTTTTACATGACGACTCTCTATTAGGATGTGCTGTCGTGCTGTTTTTGGTGGGACGGGTCACTGATGATGAACATTGGTAATGAGTAGAGTGGACGGTCAATAGTCGTCCTTGGACATTCTTAACATACTTGTATATGCTTTCTCGGATGAGCTTGACTATGTGTGCTTTCTTGTGACCTGCTGCGACAGATGCCTAGAGACTGGTGATTATGTCATTATGAGAAGTAGTAAAGTGAACTGTGTTGCTGGGTTCAACAACCAGGTCGAGGAGTACTACGTGGCTCGAGCAACGCTTGTACGCCTTCTTACTAAGGACAAGACATTCAAAGAGAAGTTTGGCAACCCGAATGCCACCCACGATCATGTTTGTCCTATCTTCAGCAAGATAAACAGGCAGAAGCTGCTCGCCCACCAGTGTCACATGGGCTGGAGGCATCAGATGCTGTTTCGCTGGATCAACGTTACCGCGACGTAGATGCACAGACTCCATCAGAACGACCTGCTACTCGAATTCCCGTTTTATCCTGACGAGAATTGGAAGTGGGACCGAGACGATCTCTCGCCAGAGAAGAAGATCCCATTCACCCTATACAAACATGTCAGCATCCGCATTGTCAACAATGAGAATGAGATTGCCATCATCCGTGTCGTAGATCTACTCGTTAACGACGATCAGCCGCAACTGGGCGATATGAGCGATCTGGATCCCGATAAAGTCGATCTCACCAGGTTCGCGGCGGTCCTTAGGCGGAAGAAGAAGTCATTCAAATACCCCGCCAACGGCCTCATTACTTTCAAGCACACCTTTGATTTGGAATCAACAGATTGCGATCACGAAGAGTGGGCAGCTCGCATACGCATTGAGACTATTGCGTACACGGGGAAAGAGCAAGATTGAAATGAGGTTAGATACATGTGCAGAGGAAGAGGAAGAGGGAGAGGAAGATTTGGTTGGATAGGTTGGATAGGTTGGGTAGGTTGGATAGGTTGGGTAGGTTGGATAGGTTGGGTAGGTTGGATAGGTTGGGTAGGTTGGATAGGTTGGATAGGTTGGATGATGATGGCAGAGAAGTTGAAGGGTAGTAGCAAGGAGGTTGAAGGATAATAGTATATTCCAAGGTTGGCAGGCGTCTCTAGTGGACAAGGAATGGACAAGTGGTGTACTTGGATAGATAGGTTTAGGTGTGGAACAATACAGCCTTCTAATGCCTAGGCGGTTGAGCGCTCTGGTGTTGCAGCTACTATGGATGCTGCGAGGGAAGTGGTTGAGATTGGCGGGACTGAAGCTGCGGCAGAGCTTACAACTGGCGGCGTATGTGAGTCTGATGAACCTGCTGTACAGAATTGGCGGATGCCTGGTTGATTGATCAGTCGTTTTGTGGTGGTATTGTTCAGAGTCTTAGAATTGAGTGCGAGAACGAAGCTGAGAGAAAGACAGAGTGAACGAAGGCTGAGATATATATATATAACGAAGACTGAGGGGAGAGGGGGAGTGTGTGTGCGTGAGAAAAAAGGTTGAGAAAGGTTGTGAAGCTGGTGCGATGAGGTTTATTAGGGACTTGTATCCGCATGCCAGAACGAGGCAGGAGCGACCCCGGTGCTACTCTCGAACATTTCAAGAGAATGAAGTCTAATTGTAGATCTAGCTGGTTCTGCAATCGATGGCGATAATAAGCTCAGCAACATTGTTAGGAGAAGAAGCCAACGTGGTTGCTTGTCTTGAGGGAGTAGTCTTGTAGAGAAACTCGCGGTCTCAAGGAAGGACTGGCGTTAGATGGGAGGTTCTAGGAGGTGATGATAAGATACGCCTGTGAGTGCTTAGTAACTCAGTTGTGGTTGAACCGTCTCACACAGTACGTTGTGTCCAACGTGGTGGCGGCGCATTGTTGTCGGGGCAACACACGATCCAGGACAGGAGAGGACAAAGCGCGTTCTAGCGTATCATCCCACATGCAAACCCCGCGTACCCTGAGTTGGTATACACATCCGCTTGCAGCAACGTCGACAGCAGGTATTGTGCCTGTATTCCCGATACCCTCCTTTTTCTTCTTCTTTCTTTGTGATACCCCCACCCGGCGCCATGGGTTCCGACGACGTTACCGACTTCGAGGTGATTGAAGGCCAGAAGGAAAACATCCAGAGCATCCCCAGCGGCCGCTCCGCCAAAGCACTCGCGCAGCTATACACGCCACCGTTGACTTCCGGCGCTGGTCAGACGCTGTCCCCTTCGCAGATGCAAGATGCGAACAGCGCAGCCCGCCTCAAGTTTGAGAAGGAGCTCATGGCAATTGACGACTCGGACGACCCGTTAGATGTTTACGACCGTTATGTCAAATGGACACTCGACTCATACCCCTCCGCGCAGAACACACCTCAATCGCAACTCTGCCCACTGCTCGAGCGCGCGACCAAAGCCTTCCAATCCTCACCCCAGTACAAGAACGACGCCCGCTACCTCAAGCTGTGGCTGCACTACATCCATCTCTTCTCAGATGCGCCGCGCGAGACATTCGCATACCTTGCGCGACACAACATCGGCGAGAACCTTGCGCTATTCTACGAAGAGTTCGCGGCCTGGTTAGAAGGCGCGGGCCGCTTCACACAAGCAGAGGAGATATACAACCTGGGCATTGACCGCGAGGCCCGTCCAGTGGAGCGCCTGATTCGCAAGTACGGAGAATTCCAGCATCGTCTCGAGAGTCGCCCGCAAGAGGTTCCCGAGCCCTCAAGCCCCGCACTCCCCGCCGTCCGTCCAGCTCTCGCCGCTAAGATGGACCCCTTTGCGCATGTATCGCCGAGTGCGCCGAGTCCACAACCGCAAAGTGCCCCAAAACCTGCTGGAGGCGCTTCTCGCTCGGGGAAGGCTAAGCTTGCCATCTTTTCCGATGGCGACGATGCCGCGAGGCCCGGCTCGACTGGTAGCATGGAAGGATGGGATAGCATTGGATCGCTCGCAGACCGCAAGAAGGAGAACGCAACGGAAGCGCGCCCTTGGGCTGGTGAGACTCTGAAGGTCGGAAAGAAGAACACGGGCATGCCAAAGATGTCAATCTTCAAGGATGAGGTGAGTTGATCTGCCTACATCAGCCCCTTCATATATTTACGATCACAGGACTAATTGGTGGGCGTTTGCCATGCATGTATTCAGACCAAATCAAATCCAAATGACGAGAATGTCAGCCCCCATCCATTGCGTGAACATCAACAAGCGGTCAATCCTAGGACCGGCAGGCTTGAGGTAGTCTTTGTAGATTTGGAGCAGGTTTACCCTAACCATGAGGACCCCATGTCAGAGGAATACTCATTTGAAGAACTTCGAGCTAAATACAGGGGATGGATGGACCACGATTGGGATGCTATCCGCCGCAAGGAACAGAAGCAGGCAAGGAAAGCAGCCGAGGAGGCAGAAGCTGCCGCAAGACCAAAGCCAAAGGCCGCGCCTCTAGCGCCCAAACAGGATTACGAACAGCCTCCTAAGCCCAAGACCGTGCCCCTGAAAGGCAGCGTTGACGATGATATGAACAACGACGAGAATGCGCCGCCTTCACAGGCAGATGTAGACAAGGCACGGGCTGCTAAGAAGGCGAGACGAGAGGAGCGTGCCAACAGGACTAGGAAAATCAAGGTCATGGAAGTCAAAGAAGTTCGCGGAGAGACTCAGACAAGTGAGTGTTTGATTGTATATGAGACTGTCACTTACGTACTAACATGTCTTAGTCCAAGCCAACCTCGATTCTCCAGCGAAGCCCAAAATCCGGCGAAAGAAGACAGGCCCGGAGACCACAATGACCCTCCACACCAAGGAAGCTATGGACGAGATCTACGACATATTCAACGAGCCACTGAAGAACGCCGATGAGAACACTTCCGAGAATCAAAGTGGTGATGAAAGCAGCGGTGACGATGAGGACGACTACACGAGTGGTGCCGAAAGTACGGCAACCGGTCGCATATCGGGCGCTACGAGCGAGTTCGGGGATGAGACAACAGCTGGAGATTTCACACTAGGCACCAGGGTGCTGGATGTTGATGCCGAGGATGAAAGCGATTCCGACGCTTCAGATACCAAGAGTGCCTCTGCGTGGTCTGACTTTACTGAGAGCAAGCACGTGCCTAAAGATGGTCAAGAGGATGAATCAGATGACGAATCAGAGCAATCTGATCAGTCTCAGAACGATTCTTTTAACGAGGTAACACGCGCAGATGTCGACATGGAACAGCAGCAAGATTCTGACGTTGTCACTCCGACATCGCCCTCAGCGCCCACATCGCTACCTACCCGCTTCGTTCCCGTTCCACCGGAGGACTACGTTCCAGCTATGCAGCCCTACCGAGACCCAGCCCAGGCTGCTAACAACCGCCTGCCGTTCATGACGCCCATCGTCGAGAAGACGGAATCATCCCTAGGCATCGCCACTGCTTATGCAAACAAGGACTACTTCACTCCCGCGACCAAGACACCATCACGATCGAAAGGTACCACTGATATCCTTGAAGATGACGACGACGACGACGATGATGATACTTGCGGTAGCGCCTTTTCAGATATCTTGAGTCAGGTTATTGATGGCTCAGGGAAAGTTGCGAAGCTCGCTCTGACAGAATCGAAACCAGTGCCCAAAGAGCCCATCGCCGAACCGCAACGGAAGCCATTGGCTGCGAAAGAGGTTGCGCCGAAACCAGTAAAGCCGAATGGTCCAATTATTCAGGATGCACAGTGCAATCCGGTCGACGAGAACATCCGCAAGGTCATTTTACAGGAGATTCAGCCACCGCTCGATAGCTACGATGGCTACTACGCAGACACAGAGGAGAGCTACGGAAAAGGAGCCGACATCCGCAAGTATACTAAGGCTCTGAAATCGGGCAAGGGCGCGAACGACAAGACAGCCAATCTTGCAGTCTGCCCCACCTTGAAGTTTCCCACAACTCAGCGGACATACGCTGTCAAACGCGAGCTTGGGAAAGGTGCTTTCGCTCCAGTCTATCTGGTTGAGAGCCGAGACCCCGACGAGGACGACGATGAGAACAAGCCTTCGCAGATGGGCAAAGGCGAGTTCGGCCTCAAGCGCAAGAATCTGGAAGCTATCAAGATGGAAGATCCACCAACCCCATGGGAGTTCTACATCATGCGACAGGCCAAGCGACGACTTGGTGTATCTCGAGCGGCTGATTCGATTGTTCATGCGTACGAGATGCACGTCTTCAAAGATGAATGCTATCTTGTCGAAGAATTTAGAGATCAAGGGACCTTGCTCGACCTGGTAAACTTATCCAGGGGAGACAACGGTGTCATGGACGAACAACTTGCGATGTTCTTTACTGTCGAATTGTTCCGCACAGTCGAGGCGCTTCACTCAAAGGGTGTAATCCACGGCGACCTTAAAAGCGACAACATCCTCGTCCGCTTTGATGGGTTGCAAAAAGATGAGCATTGGGATTCAGAGTACAAGCGCGATGGGCGTGACGGCTGGTCTGCGAAGGGTGTCTCACTCATCGACTTTGGTCGCGGTATCGACATGAAGGCGTTCAAGCCAGACGTGCAGTTCATCGCGGATTGGCCAACGACTGAAGCTGACTGTGCCGAAATGCGGGAACTACGCCCGTGGACATACCAGATCGACTACCACGGTCTCGCTGGAATTGTTCACAATCTCTTATTTGGCAAGTATATCTCCACCATTGCTGAACGTGGCGCTACTCTTGGTGCTGGAGCGACGAAGACGTACAAGATCAAAGAGAGTTTGAAAAGATATTGGCAGACAGATATCTGGCATGCCTGCCTTGATTTACTCTTGAACCCACTCATGCACCTTGAGGGTGAAGAGGGGAACAAATTGCCGGTACTGAAGGGTATGAAGGAGGTGAGGGAGAAGATGGAAGAGTATCTTGAGAACAACTGTGAGAAGGGCGTTGGGTTGAAGACGCTTATCAGGCGCATGGAGGATGCAGTGAAGAAGAGGTGATGGGGCTTGTTTTTGTGCTCTTTTGTATGACGTTTGGAGTTCTGGAAGGTTGTTATTGTAGGGTTTGGATAGATGATACCACTGGGAATGACGAATGGATTTGAAATGCTTGCTTGTACATTCACACTTTGCCGAGAGTGTCTACACAGGCCCTTCGCTGGTTCGTAACTCGCACTGACAGATATCACAAGGTTATCGACCTCATCGAAGAAATTGAAATATTGGTGGTCCGGCTTGTAGGTATGCTGCTTGATGGCTCTTGCATTTTTGTACTACTCCCGTAGTCGCCTCCAGTCACACGGTTCGTCGTTCTTTCCTCCCAATAGGCTCACTAACTTCGACACGTCCTTTGACAGCATCGTTCCTCCCACCACGTACTGAGCTAGACGCATACGATAAGAAGCCAGCAATGCCACCCAAACCTACACTCTTCATCCACCAACAATTTACACAAGACACTCCTAGCTTCCAGCAGCATACTTTGAGCCTTCCTACCACCTCTCACCTCCGCCTACTAACTCCGATTACCTGCTCGCCGCATCGTCAGCCTAGTATGTTTTCGGTTCACCACAAGGCCTCCTTCTTGCTCCACACGATGCTCGTCACTGGCGTCATCCTGATCCCGACCGCCATCGCCACACCCGCCGCGGTGCAGGACCTTACCGATATGCGCAGTGTCGTCGATGCAGCAGCAAGTGCTATCGGAAATCCGAATAACCCCAATCGAGGCTTTGGCTTCAACCTCTTCGGTGGCAGCGATCAGATGGGTACTGCCGACCTCGTCAACAACATCACCAACACTATCCTCCGAGGAAAGTTCCAACTAGACACGAACAGGGTACGTGTCTTGACCGCTACCTCCAGCATTCTTATGACCAGCACTAACAAGCACCAACAACAGACATCATGGCTCCTGCCCAGCAACTCGACCCTCAACGGCACCCTACCCACCACCAGCGTGCCCACACTCGCAACCCCCACGCTCCCCCTAACCGCCAGCCTCGCCCTGCCAACCAGCATCCCCACCACAACACCCACGCTCGACAACCTCACCATCGACCTCACGTCCCCCTACATGGAATACGTGCAATCCATGCCCAACCTAGCCAACAGTCTGATAACCCTCGGCCGGTCCTACCACCGCGAAATGAACAGCCCCGTCAACGAAGCCGTCGCCGGTCTCCAGCAAAGCCTCACTACCTTCCAGACTGCACTGCTCGAAAGCGAGCTCATCAGCGCTCAGGCTGTTATACGCACCATACGTGCGAGTAGTAGTCTGGAGAGTGCGGCAACGGCTTGGAGTCGCTTTCTTAATCTACCCGGTGGTGGTGGTGATGACGACGATGATGGTGACGCGGGACCTGTCTCTCCGTCGGTGCCCGCGGTGCCGGGAGTGGGAGGTCGGAGTGTCTTGGCCAGAGCAGAGGCGAAGAGGCCGCCGCCTGGGAATGGAAGGTTCTATAGCCACTTTGAGTTGTGGAATCGGTCGGAGCCTAGGCCGAGGGTGTCGACGGTGGACAAGTTCTCGCCGCATGATCTGGTTGTGCAGGCTGAGGAGAAGCGTGTGAGTACTACTGCTGCGGAGAAGGCGAGAGTGGGAAGGCCTTTTGTTGTTTGAGTTGTCGAGCCTTTTTCCTGTACTGTCCTACTTTTCTCAATGCATCGTAATATGAACAGGCTCTTTCTTCCAAAGCTCCATCATACATGTTAGATTCGTCCAACGTTCTGACCTCTCCATTCTCACCACATAAAGCACACACCCAGATTGCAGCATCTCGAAAAAAATGTATGCTTCGATAAGAATAAAGCTAAGCTAAGAGTTGTGGCGGGGGATATCTTCGAAAGCCAGTATGCAACGCAGAGACGAGACCAAAACAAACAGCGAACAACAAGATTGAAAACCAAAATAAAGAGCCAAGCTAAAGCGCCATTCCAGCGCTCAACAAAGATCCATAACCTCATGACTTGACTGTGCTTGCGACTAGAGGAAAAGCCGCCGAAAACACCAGTCTCCTTCCTTCATCCCATCACTCGTTTCTTGCTTCTTTCCAAAAGAGATATTCATGCCTCTTCTCTCTTCGCTTTCTTGAGTCATGATAATATGTATGGATACATACCAGACCAGACCGGACCAGACCCATTTCCACAGGTCGCCCAGTACAAAACGCTTGAGGAAACAAAGAACATCTCCGTCTCATTACAGATCCCTTGCATTGAAGTGAAAAGAAGCATATTCACATACAGATAGGGCAGGCTTGCGCTCTCTGTGTTAGACCAAAACCCATTCACTGCCTCTCTTGATGAATTTATCCAACATCATGGTGACGTCGGTGAGGACGAAGCGGCAGATGTAGAAGCCGAAGAACTCTGCGGCGTGGCGGGTTGATAGCTCGAGACCGACGTGGGTGGGGGAGGAATGCTTGAGACCTGGGTCTTCGACTTGGCGGGCGATTTGGTCTAGAGCGTTGTTAGTTAATCCATAGTTATGATGAGAGATGATGTAGAAAAAGACATACCCAATATTTGGACCGCATCGAATAGCCTTGCCAAAGAACCCATGTACCCTGCATTAGGTCCCTCAAACACAACACCGGAAATGTCTCGCTTTGCGAAGCGGATGCTGGGGAGGTTGGTCATGGGAAGGGTGGACATGATCAGAGTGTCCTTGGGCACTTCTGCACTCTTGGCACCACCAGCCATGCCCGCGAGGTTGACGCCCGAGTTCTTCGATCGGAGTTTCCGCCACGAAGCAAGGTATGATTTGCCCTGAGCAACAGCACCCTTGTGTTGGTGATCCACGGAGCCATGCCTGCCGGAGGCGTCTGTTGACGATGCACCTTCGCCGACAGTGGTCGCATCTCTGAACAGTGCGGTTACGGATTGTACACCGACTTCGTTGCCTAGTTTCTTTGCTAGCTGGGCTTGCACCTGGTCGAGCACTAGTTCCAAAGACTGCATCTCTTCTAGGACAGCATCCGCATCGTTCGTATCCACAGACGCTAGCTTTTGAAGCGCTGCGGTGAGCATGTCGCAGTTGGCGATCTTGTCCTCGATGTTCTTTAGCTTGACACCCTTTACTCGCCAGACATCGCGGGGAATAAAGAGTTTAGTGGAGAGATAGCCACCGCGGGGATGCGCGATAGTCTGGTAGAAGCATCGCATTAACCAGAACGGTCTCAAGAGGTAAGAATCCGGACATGGCTCCAGAGGGATCGGGGCGTTCGTGATGGCTGGGCTTGGCGAACCGGGCGAGAACGGTGAGTGGATATCACTCTCGAACAAGTGCATCCCTCCACTCGGTAGACCGTCGACGTTGAATGTGGGGACGCTGGGCGTTGGCATTGCCAGGCTGACATTGCTGGGTTTCCTGCCCGTAATGGAAAAAGTCGTGCTCAGTGGCGTTCCTATGGATGCATCTGAGCCATCTGGGCTGGATATTGACAAGTTGCGCTGTTTCAGGCTGAGAGAGGACTTGTTCTTCCTGATTCCCATCGCTGAGGTTTTTCCGGTCTTTGGCGAACCTGGTACAAGACCAGCCTCGTTAGAAACAGCATGGCCGAGGGCGGGCGTCGCGGGTGAAACCGTGGCAGCAGTTTCGGCGGGACTGTAGAGGGTGGGCTGAGGTGATGGAGCTCGAAGACCAGCTTGTTGGGACGCTTGCGGCAGCGCGGGAAGCTTGAACGCGGAGTCCAGGGTAGGCTTGGTGGTGCTGAATGTTGGTGCCGCCGACTTGGGTTGGACGGGGAGGTCGGTAGGCGCATCCTTAGCTGGTACCGGAGGCTTCTCCGTGTGAGGTGCAGGCGGGACAGGCGGTACAGAAGTCTCAATTTTCAAAGACTTTGCATTTTGTCCCGATAACCTTCGACTTCGTACTGAGGCTGCGTCCTTGGTTGCAGTAGTGGGCCGTGGTGTGGTTTCTGCGGTGTCGATCGTTTGCGGTGCTTGTGACTCGGGAACCGTAGGCAAGGCAGGCAGAGCGCCAGATGGAGCAGGCACCGCGGGCGGGGAATGAGCGGGTGGTTGCTTGGATGTCGGGTGCATCAACTCTGCAACGGTCGAGAGTGACGTACCACCCGTCGTTCTGTGTGACGACACGGAGCTGTTGTACGCGCTTCCAGAGAAGCCACTCGAGTCTGACTGCCGCGGTAACGAAGACTTTGTCTGCAGATCGAAATCAAACCCATCCAGCATGTACTCTCGCGTCATCTCGTCTAGTAACCGCTCTTCCTCTTCCGCCTCGTCGTTGAATCTGATCTCGGCGCTTTCGCGCACATGCGGAAGGCCCTCGCCCCGAAGCTGCGTCTCTTTGTAACGATACTTGGCCGCGGCAATGGCCTCTTCGCGTTCCGCCTCCCGCACGCGCTCCTTGGCCAGTTCCACGTTACGCAACTTAGTCGCTATTAAATCGCCGGGTGTAGAAATGTCGTCATCATAAGGTTCATATCCATCGTCGTACGCAGCTTCGACGGCTGCATCAAGCGCCGCATCGAACTCTGCCTCGGTTCCTCCACTGTTATTTCGTATATGTTTTCGGCGCACTCCCCCGGGAGACATGGAATGAACCGAGGATGAGCACGAAGATCCACCAGACTCATCAATAGTGTCAAGCCATGATGTTGACTCGTTGCTATGAACTCGTTGGTGATTTGACTTGACGGGCTGCTGTGGTCGTAATAACCGGCCATACTCCTCGGGCTCGGACTCCTTACCGCTGAGGAGAGGAGATTTGGACCGCTTTGGGGAGAGCGGTGGGGGCATATATACGCGGTCCATCATCGATTCGGCAACCGATGATCGGACAGATGTGGTAGAAGGCGCGATTCGCCCAGGTGGGGGCTGTAGGTTGAATTGCGGGTTCTGCATGCCTCTTTGCACATCGCGGATGGCGGTGGAAATGACCGACTCACGAGGACCGTCGGAGCCCTTGCGGAGAGGCAGCTGCTGGTTGGGCGGCGGTGTAGGCTCGCCGGCTGGAGGGGTATCATATATAGAACGGTCGTTAACTATGCGAGACACTGTGGCAGTTTCAATTACTGCGGGTGGTTCATCGTCGTCAAGCAGCAGCATTGAGCGGTGTTCGTCCAGCGATTCCCCGCTCATAGGGCGTGCTGGTAGTGATTTGCCGCTATGGTTAGTGTAGCCGGGATCTAGCCGTCGCAGCTCTTCTATGCGGTTGGTGTATGTTACTCGCTGCTGGCGTTAGTGGTGAAACCTTACAGATAATGTATGCATTGACTTACAATGGCGTCCAGCTTCCGCCTGTCCTCTTCCTGCGAGCTGCGGATCATGACCTGCTGGAGGAGCTTGCAGGCATCCTCATAGGCCTCCATGGCGCCCTCGAAGTTTTGCGCATTGTCAAGCAGGACAGCGGTGTTCGCCTTTTGCAGGGCACGCGACAGCATCGTCTTCTTGTCTTTCTCTCTGCGCTCGCGTGTGCGGGGAGGAGTGCCCTGGTAGCTGTCGTCTAGCCTAGCGCTGGCGTTGCTCTCGTTGCGATGGTGATCCCTGCTGGGGCTGCGGACATGGGCTCTGCTCCCGGACCTGAACTGTTCTCTGCTCTGGCTCCTGGAGTGGTCCCGCGAGGCGGCTGGTCTGTGGCCCGCACTGGGTGGGGGCTTTTGGACGGGATCCCTAGGTGCTGCAACGGAGGGTCTGCGTGCTGTAGAGGGCCGAGCTGCGCCCGAAGTGGAGTCGTGCCTTGGGTCAGCCTCCTGAAGGACCGCAGGCGACCCGAGGGGCGACTTGCCCAGCACCTTTTCGGCCTTGGTGGTGCGAGACGGGGGCCTCTGGGAGGGCGGCGGCTGCGTGGGTTTCGAGTTGAAGTAGTCGCGCTGCTGGAGGCCGGAGAGCAGGTTCGGGGTAAAGAGGCTAGATGCCGAGGGCGAGTTGTTGGTGGTCGAGGTGCTCGTGGGGGTGTTGGGGTCGTAGACGGTCGAGGGCAGCAGGATCGGGGGCAGCTGGGGCACCTTTGGGGCGGCTGTCACCGCGGATGGGGGGTCGTATGCGGGCGAGCGTGGGCGGTGTCGGCGGGGGCTCGCGGTGGGCGAGCGAGGGGCGGAATTGGCGATGCGAGCGGGGGATTCGGGGCCATTGGCGGCAGTGGCAGGCGCGGCGGTGTTGGGCGTAGTGATGCTCAGCTTGCGCGAGAAACTCGGGTGGTGCTGGTGGTGCGGGTGGTCGCTCCTGCCGGCCTGGGTGCCCGGAGCCTGGGACCAGCGGTTGAGGTTGGCAGAGGCGGTGGCGGCGGCGGCAATGGCCTCTGCAGCGCCGTTGGCAGCGCTCGAGCGGCGTCGTGAGGTCGTGGCCGGGGGCGGCGTGGCCTGGATATTCATGTTGTCGGCGTCGACGTCCACGGGTGTCGAGGCAGGAAAGCGTGTCTCAGGCCAAGCCAGCGGTTAATGCACGGCGCATGCAGGCATGGTTGCCACAAGCAGGAACGCGCTCAGGCGGGCGGCGGAGGTGCTTGGAGGCGGTGCGGCGGGCGGCGGAGGTGCTTGGAGGCGGTGCGGCGGGCGGCGTGCTCGCGAGCGGTGGTGCAATGTGCTGTGTATCTCGAATATGTCGTACGCAGCGACGAGCAGCCGCCTGTGGAGAGCACAGTGCCGCCAAGTCGCAACCCGCAAAGCCACCCAGGGGTCTTCCAAACCCGGCTTAGCCCAGAGGGTCTCTACCCCTGTCCAGCCCGGCCGACCCGGCTGCCTCTCTCTATCGTGCTAGCCAGTGCCCGGACGAACACCAACTGAGCCCACGACACGCTGCACGCAAATCCCTCGGCCTAGTCCCTCTGCTTTAGGGGCTCTAGACGTCCCGCCTCGCCATCAGGTCTCCAGTGGGCGGCCTCGTTGGGCGGCCTGAAGATTCCATTACCTACTACGCTCCCAGACAGTACGTTTCAGATGGTCTTTCCAATTGGACCCTGGCCTCTGCTGCAGGAACAGACTAGCAGCTAGGCCCTGTGGCTGCGCTTGATGGATGCCTAGTCTCCGGCCTGCTCTACACACCTCCAAAGCACAACACCGGGTTCCTGACTTGCCGCAGAACTATCAATCTGCTCCATGACCCTCTCATCTGTGCCATCTCACCAGCCATCGGCGATCTGTAGTCCCTTCTTCTAGCCTGCCTTAGTCCATATCATGCTTCTTCCCCGTTCCCCGTTCGCCATCCCCTCTCCACTTCCGTTTCCCATTGCAACAAAAACAAACGTTCGATGCTCAATCCCGACGGCGCCTCATAATCCTCCCGAATCCGATGCCGACAATTGCATGTCGTGCGATGGCATTGTTTACTCAACACGACGTGTCAAAAGTAACCTCTGACTACAACCCCAACCCGTTCGCAATCGCTTGCGCTCATGGCAGCCCGACGCCCGAACATCGCAATTCGCCAATTCGGTCCGTTTGCCACGCGCTCCAGAGGCCCATGTCGCGCCTGCTATCAAACACGGTCCCAGCAGCGCGGTCGTATCGCGTATACGATAATCGACTGATACTGACACACGCCTAAATTTCCAACTCCCGCTCCACGTACGCCATTTCTGACACCAAAAGCATCGCAACAAGCAAATTTGCATCACCCAGCTTCTCAACACGTGGCACATTGCTGGCTTCATGATTTCTTTTCGCGATTCTGCTCGCTACAGATACCTTCATGTCTGTATTAGGACAGCCCGTCACCGTTCTCGCCTCCCCGCAGCCTTCTATAGGCTGCTTTGCCAGCCTTCATAGTCCGTCCCTGATCATGTCTGCTGTTTGGGATCCGCCATCTCTCGTTTCATGCATTGCCGTTATCGCGTCATGGACATTTATCATGCCCAACCCTGCCAAACGCTCAACTTCGTCAGCACTAGTCACCGTCTCTTCGGTCTTCCCCTTCCATGTAGGGAAATTGTAGTCACCCTTGCTATGCGTCTACCATCGCTCTTCATCTTCAGTGCAAATCTGTCATCATGTCCTCTTCAGCTTCGAGGCCGTCGTCCCACGCCGTGTCCATGGCATCGCTGTTGTTGGTCTGCCTCTTGTTCAGCCGCTTCTGATTCTCGACGTACTCTTTGGTAAGCGTCATTCGGTAGTCGGCGTCCTTGACTTGCTCGGCGAGCATGTTGGTACGGCGCGTCTGCTCAAACAGCGCTTGCTGTTGCTGCTTCTCGCTCTTGGCCAGAGGTCCTTGCGTTGGGTCCAAGAAGAAACGTAGTACGATCCCCGCATTCGCCTTGTCCGTCTCCTCTAGCCGTGCGTTCAAGTGCCCATCCTTGATCAATGTGTCGATGTATCCGGCGATCTCATCAGCAGGTGCCCCCAGATGGTGCGCGATGTTTGAGACTGGAATTGCCGAGTACGTCCGTGACAGCCGCGAAACGTAAGCCCGTGTCTGGCTGCTGATGAGTTCGTTGACGAGACCAGCGTTGCCGTCCTACACGTCTTGTTAGTATTCATGAAACGAACGTTGCATGTTTTGCAGTGTATCATGACCATACCTCTGCCCATATCTCACTACCAGCTTGCACCTGAGCCTTCAGCTTCGACATGTTGTCCAGCTCCTCATATGCGTCCGCCAGGGCTTCGTAGGCTTTCGACGCAGCCTTGATATCTTTGATCGCGCTTCCGTTCGAGGTCCGTGGTGCAGTGCCCACCTGCGAATGTCAGCTTGGTCCGCGATATACTGCTTGGTTGTAACATACCTTTCCCTCTACGAGACAGCTCACCAACACCCACTTCTTGTACGCCTCCAGCATCAAGCCATTCGCTGTCTTGGTCGTAGGTATAACCAGCACGTGCTCCAGAAATTGCTTCGCCTTCTTGAATTGCCGAAGGCCCAGATATACCTGAGCACCTAGAACATAGTACTCTTCTATATCCGTCAGCGACACCTTGTCTGAATGTCCAGAGTTCTGATGTATGTATTCCCCGCTGCTCGCGACGTCCGCACATGGTACCGAGTATTCGAGGCCGTCACGGACAACGTTGGCAATCTTCTGGGGAATGCTGTGGATGTAGTTGTCGAGAATTGGTTCGGCGGCCGCGTACGATCGCGTCTCCATGCAAAGGCGTATAAAGGAAAGGTGGACTGAGGTAAAGGTGCCCGTGGAAGCATCGAGTCGAGTCATAGCCGACCGCATAGGCGCAATAGCCAGGCTCGCCTGTAGTAGTCAGCATCTCATGCAGCGAATAGCATTTTATCCGACCTACAGAATCGCATGCCCGCGCAATCGCCTCGGTCTGCTCGACGAGGTATCTCCACTCTTTCCCAACATAGCGTAGTTGTATAGGGTCTGCAGTCTCCAGGAAGAGCACCAGCTGATTCCATAACGTACCACCGGGCTGCAGTGTATCGGGTACGTTTCTCTTCTCGAGGATGGCGGAGATGCGGTGGCGGAGAGCAAAGGCGTATGCTATTGAGTTCACGGCGGGGTTGAGTATCTGCAAAGTCAGCGGCCTCCGGGCTGATATTATCAGCTGTCCTTACCGAAAGAACGTCTTGGGTTGTATTTGCGCTCTTGGTCCATTGTGATGACGGGATATTGTTCAGTTGCGAGACAAATGAACGAGCCTTCGAATCATATTCGCGCCGCTTTGCGAGGTCTGGACTGTCTGGCTGGAACGACAGCAGTATAGTGGTGAGTTCGGCCGACATTGTCGCGTCGGTGTGGAGGGATCTTGTGGTTCGAGCACGTAGGCAAGGCGGAGGCGGCGATGCAGGGTGGGGTATCGTATCGTTATTGACTGCGTATTTCCGATTCAGTGTATCGGTTCGGTTCCCAGTAGAGCTCCTGTTCTGGACGAAGGTATTTGGTTGAATAGCGAGGACAAACGTGTAGTGTTGCCGCAATTAAATGTGTTTGTCGAGGCGGAGGTGACATAGCTCTCCGCGTCCGCGAGCTCAAGGCACCTACGCACGGACGACAAGCAGTTACCCCACCAGGTGCCACCTTCACTTCGCTGTGGCGGTGCACCAACTTCAGCAAAGTATCTCACAAGACAAAGGCTGAGCAGGCCTATGTGACTGGACTGCTGTTGACAGATACGCCCTTGCCTCTTCTATTGACATAGCTCTACTACACTTCTTTTCTACCCAAGTTAGAACTACCTAGGTATCCATGAACACGCCTAAACTACACCTAAGTACATTTCGACACGCAGGACGGAGAGCCATAGTTTCACTAAACCAATCCCAATCCGTCTCTGGAATTGTTCGTCTCATTTTCCCAAACACTTCCGGTAGAAACAGTGCTACACTTTCCAGCCCATTTCAACCGCTTCATCCCTCGCGGTTAGGACTACTGGCAACACGTCGTACCTGGAAGTCTCCGAATCTATATCGCCAGGAAGCGACTTCTGCTTGTAGATTCGAACCATCTCCCTGAGACCCAGACCATATGCTTCGTTCTCATCCTCTTCATCGCTATTCTCGTCGTTCTCCCCAACGTCTTCAGCCTTCTTGGCCATCGTTCCGCGCGTTCGCGGCCCTGATATTATGACGGGAACATCCTCCTTCGGCCTACGTCTGACGAGTCTCTGCGGTTCTGCGATAGCAGCGGCCTGCGCATCATCGTCTGAATCCTCCGAATAGTCCGCGAGCTCTACTTCCGGTGGAGCTAGAGAAGCGTATGGGTTCAGCGCGTCCCCAGAATACGCATTCGAGTAGATCGACCCCAGCCTGTTCAACGCATGCGTCGAGAACTCAGACTCTTCATCGCTTACTTGCAAGACATCAGTCCCCTGAGGCTGGACCAACGTAGCTTTAATAGTGGCCGCGAAGTCTGCTTCAACTGTTCCTTTTCCTTTGCTCTCGATAGAAACCTGCTTCACTCCACGAATACCCAATAGCGCGTTCGCGAGAAGTTTCTCCGTACTGTTGAGCTTGTAGGGTAGCTTATCTCTCTCCTCGTCGGACAGCTTGCCGTCTGCAAACTTCTTCAGTTTGTCGTTTACAAAGGCAGATGACAATGGTGATATGAGGTGGTAGCTGTAACGCGTAAGGAGTATGTTGCCTTTCACGACTAGGCGGAGGGTTTGTAAGGCGTGAGGGTTGGTAGCGTTGTCGCCCCGAGGGTGTAGCTTGTTGAGTGCCATCGCGAAACGGTCCTCCGTATATGCGAATAGTTTAATTGTGTCGAGATGAACCTCTAGAGTTTTCATGTCTCGTAAATAATCTTCGGATCCATCGGCCTTAGCGAGGTAGTCGTTACAATCAGCCTCAAGTTTTAGTACGACATGGTCGAATTCGCCAGGTGTTTTGGGGGACGGGATGGGTTTCGATTTTTGCTGTGGCTGTGAGACCGGTGGAGCCAGAGTAATGTTATCGAGAATGTCTTCCTCCTCCTCTTGCGCTGCGCTATTGCGAGTCTTACGCCGTCCATCTCCATCGGACAAGGACGATTTTGTGGGCACACTGGCTTTCTTAGGACGTGCCATACTCTGCTATCAAGCTGGTCGACGTGTGTGGTGGTGTGATTGCGATCAAGGGCCTCTGTTGAAATGGAGATGCGGAAGTCAGAGGCTGGATCTAAAAAGGGTCTCAAGAAGAGTGCGTGCAAGTAGACTGGTGAATAAGGGGAGTGATTGACGTCAATCTACCTTTATAGGTTATGGAAAGCAGCCGTGAAAAGTCACCAGCATGACCAAGTCAGCTCTAGAACATATATAGACGCTTAAAGTGACTGCTCGATGCTACGTGGTCAGTGCTGTCAGATGGCTCTTTCACTATACATACCGTCTGATACCTCACATGGCATATCGCAATAGGCAGTGTCGTCTCGGACCCGTTTGAAACTAGGAGAAACACCACGACAATTACCCTCCCAAAGGTGACACCGGGCTTGCACTATGAGAATCCTATGCTCCAACGTGGTTACGGTCGTCTCCAGCTTATTGTATAGTATCTGTAGTACCCCCACTTACAAGCGCTTTCTCGTAAGCTCTCCACCACAATCCCAGATTCGCCGCGACTAGTAAGTCCATCATCTTCAAGCCTTCATCTTCCAGAATTATCTTTCCCAATTTCGCTTGCTTACCACCAAAACCACCACCTGCGAACTCCTGACCTAAAGAAAGATCTAAGCGATCCAACGAACTTCTAGCGTCTTCGGTGGTGTCATCGCAACTGACTGATAAAGAGGAGTTATTGCGGCTGTGTCGTGCTTTGCGGAAGAATGACGAGCGTTTTGAGCCTTCTTCGCCTCTGGGTGTAGTGGGTTTGGGACTACTCGGGAGGTTGAAACGTAGCTCACTAACCGTCATGGCTGTAGGCGGCGCTCCTTGAAGCCCTGGGACAATGTGTCGACACTACCAGAGTAGTTAGTATCTCCTGTTGACAATCACTGAGACATGAGTGGCATTACCTTCAAAGATCCCCCGCCTACTCCGGTGGTGAATTCGCATCGTCCGTTCCACGGACTTGTGAACACATAACCACGAAAACTGGTTTGCCTATCTGAGACCTGAATGCTAGCATATGACTGGTCTTGCCTAGTCACGAACGGAGGGGTTGGAGACGGTCTCATGTCTGTCGATGTGGAGTTGGTCTGCGCGCGATAACTCCCCCTTGAGTCAGGACGTCCGGTATCGTAGTCATACGAATTAAGCTTCCGATGTCCAAAGCCGCCTACATGCTGCGACCCTTCCATCCATATGCGTCGTCGGAATACGTTCTCGTTCGTAGACAGATGAGCCCCCGTCTGTTGTTCTGACGCTGCATTATGTGATTGGATTGACATGCCGCTATCTCGTGTTGTTAAAGGGGGCTTGTTCGTGGTGTCGGAATGCAGAAATTTGGAATAGCCAGGATTGAAAACTTCGATATACATCGGTGCTCCCAACTTTTTCTTCATGCCAGGATCATTCGATGTCGATGAGACATTTAGGACAGGTGGATCTTCAATGCGAGCGACATTCCACTGCGCGCCAGATGCGGGATCTCGCCGGATAAGGGTGAGCGATGCACTGGAGCGTGACGGGTTCTCCGATCGTCTACGTGGCGAAGCTGTCGGTCTTCGGTTTTCCTGTTGGTACTGGCTTGCATCGAATGAGCGTCGTGGGCTGTGGCTATACTCTGGGGCGAGCATTGCAGATCTCCGCGCATAGTTGCCTGCATCAGTGTTCTGGTTGTTGGAGTAATTATTGATGGGCGCCAGAGGGCTGGGAACGGGCTTCCGTATGGGAGCAGTGTTTATGCCGGGTACTGCTTTCCTTGGGACGATAGGCGCAGAGACGGGATTAGAAGACAATTGGCTCTCTTGCGCATAATCTGTATCCTGGAATCCAGGAGGGTCGACAAGGTAAGCATCTTCTGGTTGCTCAACGTGGACGAAATAGAGTGAACTTTGTATGTCTTCTGCGGTCACCACCTTTTCCCGCGGCTTCATCGGAGATAAGAAGACATCTGAAGCACGTTAGGTCTACTGTAGGAGAAGACATATTGACAGCCGTACCTCTGCTGCCAGGAACACGGGCGATGTACAGTACTAGCGGGTCATGCCTCTCATGAGTAGGATTCCTTGGGTAAGCTGGTGGATTTGAGGCAAGAGCGGTAAGCGATGAAAGAGATCTGGCTTCGATGATCGGCGTAGCCATTAGAGCGAAGGTATTAGCAGTTCTGGTATGTGGGATAGCGCTGAGTATATGGAGTTGTCAGGTGATTGCCAGCAGGGCGTTGCCTAGGATATATACAAGGCGACGACGGCGAGGTTGTGCTTGGGCTCGGGTGGCTGTGCGTACGCGTCTCCACCGACTATCATGTACAACAAATGAATTGTCTTGGCCTATCGTTGTGAAGCGCGAGAGGCAAGCGGATCTGACAGACGCGCATCATCCATGGACTCGCGGCACCTTGCCGGCAGCGAGGCTGATGCTGGTGAAAGAGCACGCGAGTCTGCTTCGCGTTAAGCCTGAATGGTCGGTGGCTGGGGCGGCGAGGGTCTATTGGCGGGTGGGTCTGATCTTGGAAGGGCCCTAGCGCTGAAAGTCTGCTCGAAATCTTGGCTTTCGTTTTGACCTCGATTTTCGCGACCCGCACACGACACGCTCGCCCCGCCAACTCTGCGCCCTCTATCCGTCTGAAACAGGACATATCACATTTCGAAAAGGATACTGCGTCTACTGTCCTCGCAATGGGCGACAATCTCGAGGTATGCACCGGGCCCGCCTCCTGTCGCTCGCTCTCGCCGCTAACTGAGAGCTGCAGGAGCGTCTAAAGAGCCATGCTCGTGCCTTCGAGGGACTCATGTCTCTGATACCCGCCAAAGACTACTATGGCAAGGACGAGAGTATCACCAGCGTATGCATCTCTTCACCTCAGGCATCGCCTTATGCTGACATGATGTCTGCAGACGCAATGGCAAAAGAAAGGCAAGAAGCAGACTCTCGAAGAACGACAAGCTGCCAAGCGAGCGAAGCTGGATCCTGCCTCCCATAAGAGCGCCAAAGACGTCATGGACGAGAACGCGCTAAAACGGAAGCGTGAATTGGAGGGTGAGGAGGTTTCCGAGCCCGAGTCGTCCGACCTTGACATGGACATCACAAAGGAGAAGCCTCTTGAGGGCATCAAGAGCAAGGCAAAGAAGCAAAAGACACAGCCTGTTGAGCCAGAAGCCGAAGAGACCGAAGAAGTCACTTTGTCCAAGGCGGAGGCCAAGC